TTGACAAGGCTGGGGGCAAGAAACTTCTTATCTATTTACCAACAAGATGAATCACATAATGACATACTACTGAATTTCGCAAAATTGGAATTCAACTTACTGCAGAACATGCACCAGAAAGAGCTAAGTCACATTACAAGGTTAGCTTGTTATGTAGAAAAATATGACTACTAAAGCCGAATGTATTTTTCTGTACTTTTCAACTAATATCAAACTTACGGTTGACTTTTAAGTTTATTATGGATATATTTTTATATATGATATAGAAGTAAATTGTAGGTGGTGAAAGTCTCTAGAGTTTGGAAGTAAATTGCCATTTGCCAGAGATAGGGTTGTGGAATGCTATTTTTGGATATTGGCGGTCTACTTTGAGCCCGAGTACTCTATTTCTAGAAAAATACTAACTAAAGTAGTCGCAATGCTTTCTGTTATTGATGATATCTACGATGGTTATCGAACCCTAGATGAACTTACACTTTTCACACGCAATTGAAAGGTATATTTATCTATTGAACAATTTCATGGACAGGTGGAACTTTAATGACATGGATGAGCTACCATTATATATGAAGTATTGCTTTAAAGCTCTCTCTGATGTCTGCGTTGAAATTGCTGAAGAGTTGGGAAAGACAGGAAGTGAGTACGGTATTCATTATGTGATAAAAGAGGTAATTATAGTCAATACACTAGATATATATATTCTTCACAAGTAAAAAATATTTTGAATATATTACATGTTTCCATTCGTAGATGAAAAAATTACTTGGCTCATATTTTGAATAGGCGAAATGGGCATACAATCGACACATGCTGACACACCTGGAAGAGTACATGAAAGTAGCACTTATATCTAGTGGTTACATGATGTTATCTACAACTTGTTTGGTAGGTATGGGAGAGTTGGTGACCGAGGAAGTCTTTACCTGGATTTCGACTGAATCGATAGCTGCAAAGGCATCGTCAATCATTGCTCGACTAATGGATGACATGGCGGGACATGGAGTAAGAAGTTTGAATGCTTAATTCACTTATTCTAATTTATAATAACTAAGTGCAATAGCTTGGGTTATTGGTATGCAAGTGAAATGTGTGGATGACAGTTCAGACATATATTGTGATAGACTTCACAGAAAAATTAGAACACAACTCCTATGGTCATTAAAATTATAGAATTTTTTTCATGTTGCTCATGATATAGTTTTTCAAGATTTTATTTAATATTTTTGTGATAGTTGAAGTTTGTTTGTATGTTGTGTTCCTTTTATGCAGTTCGAGCAGAAAGTATCAGCTGTTGAATGTTACATGAATGAGAAAGGGGTCTCAAAAGAAGAAGCATTTACTGAATTACAAAACTTAGTTACTATTGCATGGAAGGATATAAACCAAGAATGTCTTCATCCAACCGTGATGCCAATGGCCATTCTCATGCGAGTAGTCAATCTTGCACGTGTCATTGATCTTCTTTACAGAGATGGAGATGGGTTTA